GACTCCAGGATCATGACCTGAGCCGAAGGCAGTTGCTTAACCAACTGAGCCACCCAGGTGCCCCCCTTTAACATTTCTTGTAGGGCTGGTTTAGTGGTCATCAATTCCTTTAACTTTTGTTTGTCTGGGAAACTCTTTATCTCTTCTTCTAATCTGAATGATAGTCTTGCTGGATAGAGTTTTCTGGGTTGCAGATATTTTTCCTTTTAGCACTTTGAATATATATCACGCCACTTTCTTCTGGCCTGCAAAGTTTCTGCTGAAAAATTCACTGATGGCCTTATGGGATTTCTCTTATCTTGCTGCTTGCTGCTTTTAAAATTCTCTCTTGATCACTACTTTCTGCCATTTTAATTACTGTGTCTTGGTGTGGACCTCCTTGGGTTGATTTTGTTGGGGGATCTCTATGCCTCCTGGACATGGATTTCTGTTTATTTTTCCCAGATTAGGGAAGTTTTTAGCTATTATTACTTCAAATAAATCTTCTGCCTCCTTTTGTCTCTCTTCCCCTTCTGGGATCCCTATAATGTGAATTTTATTATGCTTGATGGTGTTGGTGAGTTCTCTAAGTTTATTCTCATTTTGCATAATTTTTTTCTCTCACCTGCTCAGCTTGATTACTTCCCATTACTTTGTCCTCTAGATCACTGATTCATTCTTCTCCCCTAGTTGGCTATTTATTCCATCTAGTGTATTTTTAATTTCATGTATTATATTCTCCATCTCTGACTGGTTCTTTTTTATTTCTTTGTTAAGAGTCTTACTGATGTCCTTCACCCTTTTCTCAAGCACAGTGAGTATCTTTATGATCATTACTTTAAATTCTCTATCAGGCATATTACTTATCTCAATTTTGCCTAGGTCTCTTGCTGTGATTTTGTCCTGTTCTTTCATTTGAGACATATTACCTGTCTCCTCATTTTGTCTACCTCTCTGTGTCTGTTTCTGTGTGTTAGGAAAGTCAGATACATCTCTTGCTCTTGAAAGATGAGGTCCTGTAGTGCCCTGCTGTGTAATGTCCCCTGTTCACCAGAACTTGGAGCTTCAAGGGTATCTCCTACATGTGTTGCCTATGCCCTACTGTTGTGGCTGAGCAGCCTTTTCCTTCAATTCAGTTGTCTGCATTGCCTCTCTTTTTCTGTTGTGGGCAGTGTTTGGTTCCTGTGGTATTAGTGGGCCAGACTTGGGCCTCCTTGGGGTCGAAATGAGTCAGACCAGGCATTTTCCAGAGATGTAGTAGCACCAAACTACAGGGTACTTTCCCTGTTTTGTTCCCTGAGAAGCTTTCATTGGTGGATGGGGCCTGCAGTCCGACCAGCTGTCTGCCCCCAGCCCCACTGCTGGGGCTGCAGTCTGACTGATGTTTGTGATTATCTTTTCCTCTTCCCAGGACAGGAGTCACTTTGAAGTGGTGCTGGCCCCTGTCGGGGCTGCTTGCACACTGCCACGCTTGTGGTACCACTTTGGATGGGCTCTGGCCAAGAGCATATTGGAGGGGTAGATCTGCAAAGTGTGAGGGGAGGGAGGTACTGCATTAGCAAGGTTTGAATGCAAGAGGGCACCTGCCACCACCACCTGAACTGAGGCCAGCCAGGTTGTAGTGGGGAGATCCGCAAAGCATGGGGGTGTGGGAATGGGAGGTGTGGTGTTTGCAAGGTTTGTGCCAATTCTCTGGAGGAGGGGACCAGCAGCACCCGGACTGTAACAGGCCTGGCTGGAGACGGTGGATCCACCAAGCATGGAGGTGCTGGATATGTGGTATTAGCAAGTTAGGTAGCAAGTTTTGGCATCACACTGGTTCCTGCAGATGGTTGTGTGTTTACGCTGGGCCACAGGGGAGGGAAATGGAGACTGCTGGCTCCTTTGTTCCTGGAGGAGTCTCCCAATGATCTCTGTCCCTCTAGGATACACTCTGAATTTAATAACTCTAACTCCTGTATGACCCAATTGTTTTTCAAACTGCTGCTGCTTTTCTGTATCTCCGTGGGCTGTTCGTTGTGCTGTGTCTTTAAGGATGGGAACTCAGTTTCCCCTCATACTCCAGCTCTTCCAGAGCCGAGCACACTGATTTTTAAAATTATAGGTTTTAAGACCTACTGGTTGTAAGAACTCATGCAATTCCGTCCCTCTGGTTTTCAAAGCCAAATGTCATGGGGATTTGTCTTCCCAGTTCAGGCTCCCTGGTGTGATCATCTCTTTCTCTCGCCTCTCAGTGCCCATGAGACAGTCACGTGTGTCTGTTTAGCTCCCCACTGAGTCTCAAACTTTCCTCCCACAGACAGTCACGTGTGTCTGTTTAGCTCCCCACTGAGTCTCAAACTTTCCTCCCACAGACAGTCACGTGTGTCTGTTTAGCTCCGCATTGAGTCTCAAACTTTCCTATCCTCTTTGATGTGGCCTCTTCTGTACATTTAGTTGTGGAGCTTGTTCTGCCAGTCTTCAGGTTGTTTTCTGGGTTATTTACACTGGTGTGAATGTTACCTCATTGTACCCATGGGATGAAGTGAGCTTAGAGTCCTCCTACTCTGCCATCTTCCCAGCATCTCTCTCCAGAATCACTGTATTTATGATGGAGCAAGCTTTGTAGGGTTGCCAGATAAAATACAGGATGTCCAGTTAAATTTAGATGTCAGATGCAATGAATCATTTTTTAGTGTGTGTCCCAGATATTTCATGAGATATACTCATGCTAATACATTACTTGCCATTTATCTGAAATTCAAAATTTCCTATATTTTTATTTTCTAAATTTGTCAGCCTAGTTGTGTCTTGTTTCCTGGTCAAAGCAGTACAATAGCAAGCCCCCTGTCATTTTCTCTGCAATATCTGCAAGTGTCCATGTCTCTCTCTCTGTGTTGTATTTGTGGAGGGCCTTTTATTTCCCTTATGCTGTTTAAGTTATAATGGCATAAATTTGTGGTGTGTGGCTTTTTCTTTGCTTATTATGCTCCCCACAAAATGCTGAACTAAACAGTGCTGGACTCAAAGTGCTGTAACTCATGAATGGGTGTGGTCTGCCAGCCTATTTTATGCTTATGAGTAGCATCTGATATTTCAGGCTAAGGGCCACTAACAAAAGATGTGCAGATTGTGGTTGGAGTGTTAGCATTGATGCCCAACTCTGAGTATTCCTTAAATGTGGTTTGTAATGGGTCCCTAAAATTAGAGACCGATTCATCATACCCTTGTTGACAGGTTTGGATTGTTCCTCAGTCAATGAAAGAGGGAAAACCTTCAGGGATTGCCTAGAAGGTCTTTCCCTCTGTCTCTGCTCAGGCAGATCCTGTCCCATTTCTCAAAACCTAGCTCAGATACCACCTCCTCCATGCAGTCTTCTATCTCTATGGCTTTTGCATGCTTGGAGAGTTCTGAAGGTAGGGATTTAAAAGTTAGAGGGAGCTGAAAAAGGGAAAGAGGAGGAGAAAGAGGGCACAACAAAGGACAGAGATCAGGAGAGGTAAAAATCCAGGAGGGAGCTGGGTTATCAGGGGCAGGCACAGAGTTAGAAAGAAGGAGTTCTTTAGGGAGGCAGAAGGCTGAGGTTGTTTTAAGACTCAATAGATTGGAATCTTTCTGATCTTTTTCTTTTCTCAACATCACCTTACCAGTTAAAGAAAGCTGCTCGTGGGTAGTTAGCCATTTTATTTCCTTTTTGTTCTAAGGCGTGAGTCTTGATGTGTTCCCAGAATCCCAAATGGACCCCTGCAATTCAAAATTGCCTTCCTCAGATTCATTCCACTTAGGCCATAATAAAAGATCCAACATAGAAGAAAAAAGAAAGGCATTCTACCTTAGGATCTCATTCTCTGCTCCCAGAGAACATAGAGGGCCAGAGAATTCCCAAAGACAAAAAGAAATAGAGGCAGTGACTTCAGTCAGACAATAGGTTAACCCTTTCAAAGAATCAAAGCCTGCAATTTTCATGCTACAACAAAGAATTGGAGCACATGAGTGGGAACAGGACTTACCATTTGACCCAATAGGGGACTCTGAGAAGAGAGAAAGAGATTCCTTGACTTGCTGTGTTCTTGTCTGAAATCTCAGTAGGTTTGGGGGCTTATTCAGACCCAACTGGAGTCATAGAATCAGACTGTTACAGACAAAAGTAGTTAAAGTGACTCAAATAGAGGTTACAGCCTTTATTCAGTTGTGGCACATCTGGGTGTACCTTGACATCAGTAACTCCATGAGCTGAAATAGGTTGGAGTTTTCATAGGGTGAGAAGAGAAGCGTATAGGACTATAGTCTTGCCCCAGGATGTAGTTTTCTTTGTCTGTAAGTGCCACGCAACTCACAGTTGAAATGGTTGGAGATTGTTCAACTCTCTCAGGATTGTTGGTGTAATCTCATTTTGGCTGTTCTCAGAACAGTTCCGAAAGCAATCTTTGTTGGCCTGTGGGTTGTCTGTTAACTGTCTAATGCCAGTTGATGTACAGGGGACAGAGATCTAGAAAAGAAAGAAAACAAGAAGGGGAAATAAAAAGAAAGGAGACAACATTCCAAGCAAGGAAAAATTGGGGTTTGTTTTAATTTTGTTTACAGTTCTCTCAGCTTCCACCAGTTACATATACTCTTCACTCAGGTACACAAATTCTCAAGTTCAAACCTCAAATGTTTCCCTCTTCCTACAGCTTATCTCTAACCATCCCAGTACTCCCCCCAATACTCCCTTGCACCCCAGTTTTGTTGTCTTCATGTTCTCTATCCCATAGCCACAGGAAATGTCACATCTATTGGGTGGGGAGTCTGAAATCATGGAAGGCTTCATGGAGAAAGCTGTATCTCAGCTAAGCCTTGAGAGATGGGACAAGATCTGCCTGGGTACAGACAGAGGAAAAGACCTTCCAGTAGAAGATGATGATATGAATTTTTTCATTCTTCAAATAGAGTATTATGGAGGGCTTTCTTTGTGCCAGGCACTAATCATGTTCTGGGTAAGAGTGTAGGTTTTGAGGACAAAGACTCAAACCCCAACCTTTGCTATTTCCTGGCTGTACTAGGGGTTGGGATCAGCTATAACATAATCAATGAAGCAGGCTGGATGGAGACTGACAAATTGGAGAGCAAAAGCCCGCTGTTTAACAAGGACAACTCCTGCTCAGATGCTGGTAAGTCATAGCCATGTGGGCTAGTTGGGTGTGATATTCTGATACTTCAAGAAAACTAAGATTCTGGATTTTATGTGAAATACTTTTCTTTTTAAAATACTGGCCATTAAATTTTTTTAAAAAATGAATTTATAGGTCAAACTATACACATCTGTAGGCTGGTTTTCTTCATGGTTGACAAGTTTGCCCCCTCTGACTTAGAGGCTTTACTCTGTACTTAGTAGAGCAAGCAAGGCCCCCCAGCTAGCACTTCTGCTTCATTTCCAGCTTTGTTTTTCCCTACATCTTTCTTTCCCTGCCACTTTGTGGCCCAACACAGTAAAACTGTTGCCCAGATGAACCTCTGTGTTCGTGCACAGGTTGTTGAAGTGCCTTTCCCCACATCCCCACTTCAATTTTCTTCTCCCGACTAACATCTCCTATTCTTTGAGAGCCATCTCCTTTGAGAAGCTTTCACTCACTCCTTCCCTGTGCTTCCCCAAACCTTGGATAACTATTAGTGGCACTCTATTGTCATTCTTTGTCTACTTGTCATCTTTTCCGCAAGTCTGAGTATATTATGTGTGGGACATAAGGGCATGCGGTAAATAAGTGGTAAATGAATAAGTGGAATGAATATATGTCTGCAATGTCATTTGTTATATGTAAACATGCACCAAGAAAAATATAGAAGTCCCCTTCTCTATCCACTCATCCATTTATCCAGCAAATATTTATTGAGCTCTTATTATATGGAAGGGACTGTTCTAGGTGATGGAGATACAGAATGAACATGCCAGACAAAGTCCCTGCCTTCACACATCTCATATTTTAGTGTGTCTTCCCACACTAAAATATGAAATATTTTAAACAAAATGTGTAATATAATGCAAGATGGTGATAAATGTTAAGAGAAGAAAATAAAAGCAGGGTAAGGGCTTAGAGGGTGACAGGTATACTTTCCAATAGGGTAGCTGGAGAAGGGATCTCTGGGAAGGTGACATCTGACCAAAGGTTTGGGGGAAGGGTGGGAGCAAACCATACAGATAGATGGAGAAGAGCATCCAGGCAGAAGGAACAGAAAGTGCAAAGGCCCTAGGGTGGGAGCATGATTGGCATACTTGAGGAATATCAAGGAGGCCAGAGTGGCTACAGAGGAGTGAGCAAGGGGGAGAGCAATGGGAGGTGAGGTCAGAGAGGCAATGGAGGGCTAGACCATCTTATCATCACCCCTCTCAACCACCCATTGAACACAAACCTTGGTGAATAATGGAGTAAAGAATGTCAGTCTTGCTGGGATGTGTGGTGGCAGTCCCAGGGAGATATGCATAGGTCAAAACAGCTTCCCCCACAGATATATGCTTCTCGTAGTTCCCTCTCTACCCAGAGTCTTTACCACAGGGCTCTCAGAGGCAGGTCCCACCTGAGACCAGGCCCTGTTTGCCTTGGGAGGGTCATGAACCTGTGGAGATTGGCCAAAGTTATTTCCTGCTAGTTGGAGTTGGGACCAGGCTGTGCAGCTCCACCCAGTTGGAAAGGACTCCAGAGTTGTTATTCATCAGATATGCTGCTGTTTAGAACAAGTCCTGAGTTTCCCACTTCTACACCTTTTCCTCTCCCAGGAAGACACACCAAAAGAGTCAGGAGACCTATGTTCTACTTCCTGCTTGACCTCCACAGTGGGTTGTGAGAGCTGGGGCAGGTCTGGTGCTCTGTGAAAGGAAGGACTGAGACTTGATGTTCTAGTGCTGTATGTTGCACCTGTGTCTTGACTCTGCATGATGGGCCACCTGATTTCTTTTTTTTATTATTATTATGGTCAGTTGGCCACCATATAGTACATCATGAGTTTTTGATGTAGTGCTCAACGATTCATTATTTGCGTATAACACCCAGTGCTCATCACATCACGTGCCCTCCTTAATACCCATCACCTGGCTACCCCAGCCCCCCAGCCCCCTCAGCCACCTGATTTCTAACCTTGGAAGTGGGCCTTCTATAACCCTCTTCTTGTAGCTGCACCCAGGTGTGAGCATAGCTGTGCTGCCTATTCAAAAGAGGTGGTAAGTGGTGAGGTTTGACTGAAGCCCCAAGGTCTCTTTTCCCAAACATCTCCCACAGCTTCTCCTCTCCTGCACACCCTGACATTCTTACCATTAATTGTTCCTCTCAAGCAAAGGTGGAGGCCGTCTCCAGAGGTGACACCTGGGAGCCCGCAGGCCCGTACACCCAACCTGCCCAAGCGGGATTCAATTATCTTCCTAGCATGCAGAAAGAAAGGACATCTCCTCTTAAGGAAAGACACAAGGCTCCAGGACTGTCAGAAAACCACTGGCAAAGGCTCAGGCCGGGCTCCCTGCTGAGTGGCTCTGAACAGCTCCCAAGCACGAAGAACAAGGGACCACAGGAAGCCCACTGCCTGGGAATGCTGCAATGGATGGTGGCTCTGAAGAAAAACTTGGTCGCCCTTGTAGCTTGGTTTGGGGCTTGCTGCTGGGTAAATTCTTCCTGAGCTGTGGTGTTTTCAGACCTTGAGGCACAGTTTAACCCCCTAAATGAGCATAAGGAGGAGGACACAGTTTGTTAAGGCCTGGTAACTCAGAGGAAGCTTGCACATTCCTGCTTTGCCGATTTCAACTCTGTGCTTTCCCCAGAGTTGCTGTTGCAAAGGATTGTGGGAGCCCTAAGTCCTCCTTCCCATCAGAAGTGCCGAACTATGGGGCACCTGGGTGGCTCGGTCAGTTAAACGTCTGCCTTCCACTCACGTCATCATCTCAGGGTCCTAGGATTAAGCCCTGCATCGTTGGGCTCCTTGCTCAGCTGGGAGTCGGCTTCTCCCTCTCCCTCTGTCTCTCCACACCCCACTCATGCTTGCATGCTCTCTCTCGCTCTCTCTCAAATAAATAAATAAATAAATAAATAATTTAAAAAAGAAGTGTCGAACTAGACAGGAAGGCTTGAAGCAGTAGAGGAGGCTATGGAGGATGGGGGTGCTGCTGCAGCCCAGTGGCCCAACACCTGGAGCCAAGGAGGGACCCCAGCTGAAGGCGAACAGATACTTCCCTTAGACTCTTAGGGTTAGAGCGTGCTATGCGCTCAGCCAGGCCTGGGTTCCTGGCCCAAATTGCTTCCTGTATGAGCTCTCTTTGTAAATATAGGGTCATATTAGGAACCCAGATGTCCCTTCACTTTAAACCAGGAGTCACAAGATCACATGAAGTGAGCCAGGTATAAGCAGTTGGCGGTGGGGACTGGGCGAGCCCCATCTGAAGGCAGCAGCCACTCCTCAGCTGTCCTCGGTTGCCATGCTGAAATTCGCCTGGAGGGGCCTACCTACCAGTTGTTTTTAAGAGAAAGATCTTTACACAATGATTTTAGAAATTTCCTACATGTTTCAATGTCGATAAGGAATTGCATTCATATGGGGCCCCTGGGTGGCTCAGCCAGTTGGGCTTCTGACTCTTGGTTTTGGCTCAGGTTGTAATTTCACGGGTCATGGATCGAGCCCTGGGTCAGGCTCTGTGCTCAGCCGGGAGTCTGCTTGGGGATTCTCTCCCTCTGACCCTCCCCCTGTTCTCCCTCTCTCTCAAATAAATGAATAAATCTTTTAAAAAAAGGAATTACATTCGTATATATACAGCAAGCATGTCTAATACCACTTACTATATGCAGGCACTGTTCTAAGCACTTCGCAAATAATAACTTGTCCAATTCTTTTTTTTAAGATTTTATTTATTTATTTGAGAGAGAGAGAGAAAGAGAGAGAGAGAGAGCACATGAGAGGGGGGAGGGTCAGAGGGAGAAGCAGACTCCCTGCTGAGCAGGGAGCCCGATGCGGGACTTGATCCCAACACTCCAGGACCATGACCCGAGCCGAAGCCAGTTGCCCAAACAACTGAGCCAACCAGGTGCCCAACTTGTCCAATGCTTATAACAATAACAACTCATGAGGTAGGTCTTCCTTCATCTCATTTATTGATGAGAAAAATGAGGCCCAAAGGAATTAAGTAACTTGCTCACAGTCCCTCAGCTGGTAAGTGGCCGAGCCGGGCTTAAAGCCAAGCTGCCTGACTCTGTAGTCCATGTTCTTTGTCGCTATGTTATGCTGCCTCATTAAAACTAGCAAATGAGCAAACAAAGCCCAGCAAACACAAAACACCATGCAGGACAAAAACCAAATAGGAGAGCAGAAGCAAAACAAGCCCTTCATTTGCTTCCTCCGCTTTAAACCAAAGCCAACAGAATTGGACACCTCTGCCATTTTCTTCTGCTTTGTTGTCTGTCTTCTTTGTAAGCTTCTTCGTGCCTGACCCCCATCTTAACACCTCTCTTTTTTAGATATTCCCAACACTGATTTCTTTTCAGCCCTTTCATAAAGCAACCTGGCCTCTTTGCCTTGTCAATTTTGCTCTCTGAAATGTGACCTCTCACTTTTCATTGTTCATTCTCCATCTTTACCTTCAAAAATTCTACTCAAATCCTCCCAGAATCACTGTCACCTGCCAGGTGGAGGTGGATCCCATGAACTTACTTTGTAATGAAGATTTGGGGGAATCACGGCCATCCCTTGCAATGGCCCACATTTCTCTTTCTGTACTTGTATTCATTTAGTTTCTGTGTTGCATAATGCAGTCTTTTATAGTCACATACGTCTTAGTATTAATCCCTGTTTTGTGTGTATTTATCTTGTCTTTCCAGCAAGAGTGTAAGCCAGACGAGCAGGGGCTGTGTTGACTATGTATTCCACCATCTCTTTTTCAGTGCCAAGAAGTCGCATCACATAATCGGCAAAGGCATGGGCTTTGGAGCGCTCTCTCTTGGACCCAAGCCTTGGCTTTGCCACTTACAAACTGTGTGACCAATGACAATTCATATGATCTCTCTAAACCTCTTTCATAAGATTATCATGAGACATAATGCATATAAAATACTTAACCCGGGGCCTATCATCTAGTAAGCCTTAGCATTTGACAACTCTTATTACTATGTCATAGGTACCATTAATCAGCTCTGGCAGCTGTGAAAGTGTTCAATCTCTTGACTCCAAAAAGATGTCTGGTTTTTAGGATTAACTTCACTCAGGCATTGTTAGGAAGTATTGAAAAGGATTGGCTAAAAAACAAACAAACAAAAAACCCAGGACCCTACAATTGTACAATTAGAATGTAATTTTTTTTTTTTTTTTTGGTTCAAGTCAAGCTTGACCTCTCCCAGTTGGAAGGAATTGGAAGATCTAGGACCTCTTTGGGTTGAACAGGTGGGTACATGTGTGTGCAGATGTGTGCATGTTTGTGCCTACACATACATGTGAATTTTTCAAAGCAGAGCCTATGACATGTGTTTGTATAGTGCGTCAACACAAACTGCCTAGGAGTAGGCTTCCCCAAACACTTTAATGTACACAGCAGGTTGAGTCACACTATCAGTTAACATAGGGTTCCTGGTACTAACCCTTTCCAGACTCCCTACTATCGCTAGGTAAGCAATCCTAGGCTACTCAACACAAGCTGACTCATACTTATTGTTAAAACATGACTTGCCAAAGGAGAACTTTCTGCAGGATTCTTCCCTCCAGGACAGGAAACAAAGATTTCCCAAATTTAAGAGGAGAGAACCTCCATGGCCCTACCTACATATACTCCTGTTTCACAGTCTTATTAAAGGCCATTTCTGGCAGTTCTCTGGAGGACTCCCAGTAAGGTGTCCTGAGAGCACATTAAGGACACCAGGTTAACCGTTGAGAGAAATTCCAGTCCTTACACATGGGGATGGAAGGGAGAAAGGAAACTCTTTCACTGTGTAACACCATCACAGGATTCACTTGAGAGTCTATAGTCTGGGACTCCCAGCTTCTTGGTTTGGAGAATTATAAAATTATGTGCCACTTCTTTTTACTGTTTTCAAGGCAAGTAGATATTAACCTGGAATAGGAAATATGTTGTTGATGATGATAATGGTGTTATCCTAGGTTTGTTTTTCAACAAATACACCAGATCATGCACATCCAAATGAGTGCTACCTTTCAAATAGTCACGTTGACATATCATATACTTGAAAAAGTGAATTCACCAAACATAACTACTCTGGGTCCCTAAAGTCACAATATACCATAAGTCATGAGCACATATTCTGGAGCCAGCCGAATTGAGCTGAGGTCTTGGCTCCAGTGCTTATGTGGTCTTCAAAAAAATTCTCTCTGAGCCTCATTTTTAGCAATAAGGGGGTTACCAGGGACTGACGCTTTGACCAATAACAGCCTTATTTGTGAGGAGGATGACTGGCAGCCATTTCCCAACAGGGAACTGATAGAGCAAGATTAAAATGACTGCTCACTAGCTGTGTATAATAAAGGATGGGGATGGGGAACAGGAGCAAATAGGTACCACCCCGTGAAGAGAACAGAAAACTGCCCAACTACATGTGAAATAGGATGTGGGTTATATAACAGGAATAGTTGAGATCTGTTGAGAGAGGGGAGAATGAGTCCTGAGTCTATGTGTTGCTATAAATGAGATTTGAGCAAATTGCTTCATTTCCCAGTGCTTCTGTTTCTTTACCTATAAAATGGGGATAATACTATTACTTATCTCATAAGTCTGTGAAGAAGATTGAGTGAGATACTGCATATAAAGCACTTAGCACAATGCTTGGCCAATAACAAGCTCGTGTGTGTGTGTGTGTGTGTGTGTGTGTGTGTAAAATCACCTAAACACGGTCCTTACCCTCTTTAGGAGCTTGCATTCTTAGAGGTATGAAGAGCACCAGGACATGAAGAGTTGTGCTATCCTAAGTGCTGTGCAAAAGGTACTGATTAATGCTGTTAATGTGAGATTACATCATGTGGGAATCAGGAGACAGTCTCTGGAGGAGTTAACAGTTGTGATAAGGCTCACAGGATGAGTAGATTTTTGACAATTCACTTTGGTGTGGTGGTAGATCTGGGAGGAGGGAATAGCCTTGTAGAGGCACAGGGATGGAAAAGTGAGGCATATGTTCAGGGAAGAGAGTATTCAATTTTGTTTGGAGGTCACTTGTAAGACTTTGGCCATCACTGACATTCTTTGGTGATACAAATCTCAGAAAATAGGCAGCAAAGGTAGGTTGGACACCTATTGAAAGCTAGATAAAAATTCTTATGTCTAGGCAAAAAGGTGAAGGGGAGTCGTGGACGATTTTTGAGTATGAGAATGACCTGATGATATTAGACTTTAGGAAAACTTAGCTGGCAGGATTGTTCAGGATGGATTGGAGAGGGAGGAAAACTGGAGGCCAGGAGATGGGCTAGGAGGTTACCACCACCATCTAAATGAGAGCTAACAGGGACTGAACTAGAGGATGACAGGATTCATCCTCACCTCTCTCAACTGACCTCAACTATTCCTGTTATATAACCCACATCCTATTTCACATGTAGTTGGGCAGTTTTCTGTTCTCTTCATGGGGCAGTACCTATTTGCTCCTGCTCCTCCTCCCCATCCTTTATTACACACATCTAGTGAGCAGCTATTTTTTTTTAAAAGATTTATTTATTTTAGAGGGAGAGAGAACGCACAAGCGGGAGGGGCATAGAGAGAGAGAATCTCAAGCATACCCTGCCCTAAGCGCAGAGCCTGGGATGGGGCTCTATCTCACGACCCTGAGATCACGACCCTGAGATCACAATCTGAGCTGAAACCAAGAGTCGGTCGTTAAACGGACTGCACCACCCAGGCACCCCTAGTGAGCAGTCATTTTATTTATTTATTTATTTTTTACCAGCTCCTTGTTGGGAAATGGCTGCCAGTCATCCTCCTTGCTGATAAAGCTGTCGTTCATCAAAGCCTCAGGAGATGGAAAAGAGAAGATGGGCTGAAGAGAAGTTCTCGGTAGGATCTGGTACTTCTGGAATGGCAGAGTGAGCAAAGTAAGAGTCAAAGAGTACCCCAGTGCAGAGTTAAGGGGGGTGCAACAACAGTGCTTGGGCAGTGGCACAGGTTTGGTGACCAGAGGATGACATGTGTGAAGTCACTGTGAGGCGCAGGTGGGGCATAGCAGTGGAGTTTCCCGGCAGGGAGTCAGAAAAAGCAATGAGGACTCAATAGTGCTGTGATTGCACAAAGAATGTTTGAAACACTTTCTTTGGAACCATTCCAACAGGAATGAATTAAAGTCTTTAGACTCTAAGCACTGACTAGATTATGCCCTTCTATACGTAATTCAGAATTTTAAAAGTCCCTACAAAACCATAAAATATGTAGAAGGATGTCCAATGAATTCTGATTTTCCCATGATGACTACTTCAGGGATTAAAAAATATATGTGAGAAAATTTACTCCCAAATCTGTCTCTCTGTCTCGATCTCATGCTAGTGCCATAAGTAAGAATGGCCTCAGTCTGTCTTTTGGAAAACCCAAGACTGCCATCTGAGCTAGTTCCCAAGCCGCACAAGGACAGCAGGCTCATTACTTTATAATTATGCCCTGTTTCTTTTTTTTTTTTAAGACTTTATTTATTTATTTGAGAGAGAGAGAGGGAAAGAGTGCACACAAGCAGGGGGGAGCAGCAGGCAGAGGGAGGGAGCAGCAGGCAGAGGGAGGGAGAGATGCAGGCTTCCCACCGAGCAGGAAACCCAGTGTGGGGCTCCGTCCCAGGACCCTGGGCTCAAGACCTGAACTGAAGGCAGACGCTTAACCACCTGAACCACCCAGGTGCCCCTATGCCCCATTTCTTGGGCACAAAACAGCATTTTCATGAACTTGATCACCTACCTTGTTTAATAAAATTAGTCTGAAATGACCTAGCTATTTCCAAAGACCAAATTCCCTCAAAGGGTAATGATCTGTTCCTACTTAGGACGCTAGGACATTTAAAAAACATTTCTACTGATCTCACACAATACATAAAAATCAAATCTGAATGGGTTAAATTCAGATTCCCAAATCCGTTCATTTAACAAATACTGAGTACCTACTATGTGCAAGGCACTGTCCTAGGCCCTTGGAATAAATAGTAAATGAAATAGACAGAAATCCCTGTCCTCTTGAAACTTACATTCTAGGGGTGCCTGGGTGGCTCAGTCTGTAAAGCGTCTGCTTTCTGCTCAGGTCATGATTCCAGGGTCCTGCGACTGAGCCCCGTGTCGGGGCTCCCTGCTCAGTGGGGAGTCTGCTTCTCCCTCTCCCTCTGCACCCCCAACTTCTGCTCTCGCTTTTTCTCTCTCTCTCAAATAAATAAATAAAATCTTAAAAAAAGAGAGAGAAATTTACATTCTAGCTGGGTGGAAAAGTTAACCACAAGTGAACAGCATAGTATGTTGGAAGGTAATGAGTGCTATGTAATAAGGAAAAGGCAGTAGGGGATTGGGAGGGCTGGAGTGGAGAAATCTGCAGTTTTAAACTGTGTACTCAGGGGCAGCATTGTTGAAAACTAACATTCGAACGAAGACTTGAAGAAGATGTGAGTTGGACCTGCTGATACCTGGATTTAAAGGGTCACAGACAGAGGAAACCACCAGTGTAAACGCCCCCAAAAGTGGGAGCGTTGCCTGGCTTGTTCAAGAGTCAGCAAGAACAGTGTGGTTGGATCAGGGTGAGAGGGAAGGAGTGGTAGGAGATGAGGTAGGTTGGACGGGTGGTGGAAGGGGTGAGGTAGATCATTTTATAGGGTCTTCTGAACAACTCTGAAACAATTTTTAAAGATTTATTTATTTGAGGGGGGAGGGACAGACAGAGGGGGAGAGAGAGACTCTCTAGCACACTCTACCCTGAGTGTGGAGCCCCACCCAGGGCTGGATCCCAGGACCCTGAGATCATGACCTGAGCAGAAACCAAGAGTCAAACACTCAGAGCCACCCAGGTGCCCCATAGGCTACTTTAAAGACTTTGGCTTTTACTGTGAGAGAAACTGAGAACTATTGGACGATCTTGAGCAAAAGTGAGATGGGATCTGACTTGCATGTAAAAGGATCATTCTGGCTACTGTGATGAGAATAGACTGTAAGGGAAAAAGGAAGAAACAGGGAGACCAGTTAGGAAGCCATTGCAGTGAGCCTGGCAATTGATGGTGGCAGCTCAGCCCAGGGTGGTAGCAGTGAAAGTGGGGAAGGTCATCGGAGTCTGGGTCTCTTTTGAACATGGACCCAAAAGAATTTGCTGGCGATCTGATGTGGTACATGAGGGGAGGAGAGGAATCAAGGATGACGCCAAGGCTTTTGGCCTGAGCAACTGGAAGCACAGAGTTGCCATAACTGAAAGGCAGGACAAAATTATAGAAGCATTAAGAGAAAGTATAATATTATATATTAATATATATTATATAATAATATAAAATAACATTTCTATAGTCTGGGATCAGGGAAGGCTTTCTTAAGGAAGACATGAAACTCAGAAGCTACGAAGAAAAAAATTGCTAGATTAACTACAACAAAATGCAAACCTTCTTTATGGTGGAAGATATAAAATGTTTTAAAAAGTTAGGCTGGAAGAAAATATTTATAATATATGTACCAAACTTAATTCCTTTTTTTTTTTTTTAAGATTTATTTGACAGAGAGAGACACAGCGAGAGAGGGAACACAAGCAGGGGGAGTGGGAGAGGGAGAAGCAGGCTTCCCGCAGAGCAGGGAGCCCGATGCAGGGCTCGATCCCAGGACACTGGGATCATGACCTGAGCCGAAGGCAGACACTTAACGACTGAGCCACCCAGGTGCCCCAACTTAATTCCTTTTTAATTAATTCTTGATTATCAATCAATCAATTAATCTTTAATTATGGGGTATGAAATTAAGATTCCTAAGGTATAAGGAGCACTTCAATGATACTGAAAGACAGATAATTCAATGGAAATTGTCCTAAGGCCATAAATAGGCAAGTCACAGGGAAGGGAACACCAATTAAGCCAGCAAACCTATGAAAAAAGGCTCAGCCTCACTAGAGAACTACAAATTAAAACAGCAGTGTGATACCACTTCTCACCCACGGTACTAGTAAAAACGAATGGCATACTTTTCATTATTGACAAGGGTGTGGAGAGACAGGCACTCTCATACACGCTTAATGGAGGTGTCAATTTATAAAGGATTTCCGGTGGACAATATTGCAGACTCTACCAAAATTTAAAGCGTTCGTCTCCTTTGATCCAGCAGTTCCATTTCTAGGTACCTAATCTACAGAAATAATCACTCAAGTGGGCGGAGATGTAGGCAAAGGGCCATCCATTTCACCACTGTTAATAGTAGTGAAAAACTGAAGGCGATGCAAGAATTGACCAACAAGAGAATGGTTAAGTGAGTTGTGGTACATCTGTACAGTGAACTACTCCGCAGCCTTCAAACAGATAAGGGAGCTCTGTAGATGGTGTCGCACATGCTGACCCAAAGAGACAATAAAAATGCTTTTGCAAGGGGGAAAACAAACTATCGAATGATATGCGTAGTATGATTACCTTTATGATTCAAAAAACCACCACAATGTGCATGTGTCTGTGTGCGTGTGTGTGTGTGTGTGTGTGAGAGAGAGAGAGAGAGAGAGAGAGAACTCGCAGAAGCTCTGAGAAAAACATGAAACTCCCATTGCTTGTGCGCACGGCATGGAATTACACCCGTGGGTAAGAGAATGGAGGCTTTCTTTTTATTCCCTGCATACTTCTTCTTTGTTCTTTGAAATCTCATTACAATCAAAATGTGTTATTTTTGTAATTTTTAAGTTAACAAAAATGAGAAATAAGTCAGAGGCTGCAGATTTCTGAAAGTTCCCAAAGACTCCAGATGCAGTAGCATGATCGATACGTGACAGTCCCACTGTGTCACTGTGACGGGAGGGACAGCATCTAATGTGCTCTCTGTGGCCTTGGGAAAGACACAACGTTTCTGAGCCTCTGTTTTTTATACAGAGAATGGAGATAATTCCTCCCCTGTTTATTTTAGTCAGTTGCGAAGATAAAATGGAAAAGCGGCTTAAAAATCATAAAGCCGTGTAAAAATATGAAAGATATTTAACAATACTTCATGTGCTAGTTAATGACCCACTTCTTTGTCAATAACATCAAAATTCAATACCAAGAAGAGAAATTAGATGATCTCTTTGAGTTTGTTTTGACAGAATTCTTCCTGTCCCAATTGGGTGCGACGTAAGCAGAAATGTAGGCATTTTACTTAAATGTTCTAGAGAGTTCTGTGTTTGTCTGAGATAGTCTGTGTGCAGATGGGTTTGGCAATAGCCTTAAGTCATTCTCTCCACCCCACCCATTTCAGGGCCAGCTAGCTTGGACAGTAGCGGATTAATTAGAAAGCTTTTATTTAGCCCCTGCTTTGTGCTTAGCATTCCACTGTGAGCAGGTGGCCAGACATCCAAGTTCACCTGGGACTGTTATGATTTACACCGTCTGTCCCATGTAATGCCAATAGCAGCCTATTCACTCTCAAAAGTGTCCTAGGTTTAATGATGAATTATATGCTCACCTATGGGGCATGGAAGGAGACGTAGGAAGCCCCTGACTTACAAACACCCGACTTAGAAACCTCTTTCCCTGTCCCAGCTCTTCACCACTGGAAAAGCCTGTATTACTTTCATGGATCTCTTGGAGACTTAATGGATTCAGAGGTCAAGGCAGGGCCGAAGCTGAGAATAGTTGATGTGGACCTCCAGAGGGCTGCCCTCCAAATTGCCCTCCTTGGCAAAACCTCCTCCCTCAGACCATTTCTCCTTATTGCGTTGCCCAATACTCCTGGTGGAAGATTCATTTGGGGTGGAGGAGGCAAGCATTCTATTTTCAATAGTGTAAACCGGTTGGAGAATGTTCATGGCAATTTTTTTTTCCCTTCCTAACATGGAGCTGATTGTCTGCTTATACAGAAGAAGGGTATTTCTGGGAGGCATAAGGTTAGAAAGGAAAAGGTAGTCTTGGAGCGTGAGTTATTCTGGTGAG